CTCACAGCAACCTCCAACTCCTGGGCTCAAGTGAGTCTCCTGCCTCCACCTCCCAAGTAGCTGGGACCACAGGCTCCCGCCACAACGCCTGGCTATTTTGTTTGGTTGCAGTCATCATTGTTTGGCGCGCCCAGGCTGGATTCAAACCTGCCACCTTAGGTGTATGTGGCTGATGCCTTAGCCACTTGAGCCACAGGCTCCAAGCCAGAGATACCTCTTTTGTGGGGAAGAGAAGTGCGATCTTGGTTTGGGTGGGGACTGTAAGGTTTCTCCACTGTGAAGTCAGTATTCTCCTCTTTGTAATTAGTATCTTCTGGGAAGATACTTTGGGAATATGTAAATATTTTTATTTTTCTCTCTTTTTTTTTTTTTGAGATAGTCTCACTCTGTTGCCCTGGGAAGAGGGTGCTGGTGTCATTAGCTCACAGCAACCTCAGACTGACTCTCTTGGGGTCAAGTGATTCTCCTGCCTCAGCCTCCCAAGTAGGTAGACTACAGGCACCCACCACGACGCCCCACTTTTTTTTTTTCTATTTTTAGTAGAGATGGAGTCTCGCTGTTGTTCAGGCTGGTCTCACCTCCTGAACTCAAGCAATCCACCTACCTAGGCCTCCCCAGAATGCTAGGATTACAGGCGTGAGCCTCTGTGCCTGGTCTCCATTTCTCATTAAAGCACATAGCTCTAAGTTTTAGTGTTAATGATGATTCTTATTTAAGATGGTTCTTCTTTAAATATTATTGTGACATTTGCCAAATGTGTTTTCTAATAGCTTTTTCTTCTCCCATTTACAAATTGAGTTTAGGGGTGGTGCCTGTGGAGTAGGGCGCTAGCCCCATACGTCGGAGGTGGTGGGTTCACCCAGCCCTGGCCAAAAACAGCAAAAAAAAAAAAAAGAGTCTTCCTTCAAGCTAGAATTTGAATTTTTTCTTTCTTTTTTTTCTTTTTTGCTAAATATGATATGTTACAAGTAAGCTATCTGGGAGATATTTTAGTTTGTGCTCTGTAAAAGTGTTAATATTTCACACTAAAGTTGCAATACAAAGGGAAAGAATAATTAATCCTGCTTCATATATTCATATAGAACAGTCCATTCTGGTTGGCTTGGACCAACTTTCTATGCCGTCTGTATTTGTCATTGTTTAAATTTTCCTTCCCCCTCTATTTCTACCGCTAGAACTTAGTCTAGGGGTAAATGGCTTTTGCTTTTTTTTTTTAAGCACTTACAAGAATTGAGATTGTAGCAGTGATTTCACAGATTTACAGCTGTAGCGCACAACGTTGGAACCTTTTTTACTTAATGAAATCAGTGAGGGCTTAGAAGACAAGAAAAGAGGTAACCCCCGTGGAGAGTTTAGTGTAAGCAGCCATCTTTGGTTGATCAGTCTCCCAGCTAGTTAGGACTGATAACGCTGCTCCAGGGCACTTGCCACAATGTGCACATTCTGTCACTGCCCCTTCCTGTTTTTCTGAATTTCTTCTGTAGGAGGAAACTGGTTGTCATTGATGGTTTTCTTTCTTTTTTCCTTCTCCCTGTCCCTGATGAAGGAGGATGAAAAAAACCTTCTAAGAAGTTTAGTGGACAGGGAATGAATTTACATTATAATATCTAGAATGATTAGGTACTGAGAAAAATCTGATCTCTTGATATTCTTTTCTTTCACATGATGTTAAAGTTGCAGCAATTTGTTCCTTGATTTAGAAGGCATTTATAGGGTTTATTTGGATCTGCAGGTTGATGTTTTAAAACTATTATTGTCCAACGTTAAAAATCTTGGCTTTTCAAGCTCAAATTCTAGAGAAGTAGAACTTTTTATTGATTATACTTACTTAAATTTGGGGTTTTCTTGAGTTCCCAATCCTTGTGACAGACAGCAAATTTCCCGGAGTCATAAAGAATTCTCTCAAATAGTTAACTAATATTCTCAAGCTCAGGTATCTCTGGATCCTCCTTGACTGCTGGATTTTCTTACTGTAGGAGAAACTCCTGATGCAGTCCAGCAAGGAACTTTTATGTGCGGACCTCCCTGAAGATTTTCTAAGGAGCAAAGGTATTTATTTCTCTCAAATCTTTTCTTTTTTCCACTTTCTACACACACTGTTTAGTTCCCAGTTTCAGGCCAGGTACAGTGGCTCATACCTGTACTCCCAGCATTTTGGGAGGCCAAGGCAGAAGGATTGCTTGAGGCCAGGAGTTCAAAACCAGCCTGAGAAACATAGTGAAACTGCATCAGTACAGAAAATAAGAAGAATTAACCAGGTGTGGTAGCATGTTCCAGCTACTTGGGAAAATCACTTCAGCCCAAGAGTTCAAGGCTGCAGTGAGCTATGATCCCACCACTACAGTCCAGCCTGGGTAACAGAGTAAGACCCTGTATCTTATTAAAAAATACAAAACAAAACAAAACAAAAACCAGGGCGGCGCCTGTGGGTCAGTGAGTAGGGCCCCGGCCCCATATACCAAAGATGATGGGTTTAAACCTGGCCTGGCCAAATTGCAACAAAAAAATAGCCGGGCGTTGTGGCAGGTGCTTGTAGTCCCAGCTACTCAGGAAGCTGAGACAAGAGAATCACCTAAGTCTGAGAGCTGGAGGTTGCAGTGAGCTGTGACACTGGGGCACTCTACTGAGGGTGACAAAGTGAGACTCTGTCTCAAAATAAAAAACAAACTAGCCACCCTACCTGCAAGATCTTTTCAGTGGAGCTCTAATATTGTTATAATTAATCTTTGGTATATTTTCACTCACAGTTTTACTACAAAACTTACTTCTCTACGTTAAATTACACTTTGGTGCTTAACCACTGAACTGGCCTTTAAGGAAGAGAGTTATTTTTTGCTTGAAAGTCTGCCTTTCAGAGTTACCCTGTCTATTCTCTACCTAAAAAACTGGTGCATATTGGACATACATAGATAAGATAAACTGTTTTGAAAAGTGAACACTCTGTGGCACTTTTCTTTCTGTTCAAATACTATTGTTATTTTATAACTTATATTGGGAAAATAAAATTGTTTTTAAACTTTTAATTTTTTTACAGGTTTTTTTTTTTTTTTTTTTTTT